ATAGCAGAAGGCTGTTTACATGAGAATGTGTCCCATGAGACTGATGACAAGAAAATCATCACTTACTACTGATGGCTTTTACTGTAGCTGGAAAAACTATTACTATAAATTGCATAATAAAAAAATGGAGATAGTAACTCACTCTTGTTCTTAAAAGCTCTGAGATCTACTAAAATGCTGTAAAAGAGATGCTGCTATTATTATTTTAACATATTTCCACTTTAATGTGTTTTTTGGGGTTTTTTTTCCAATGGAAATATGAAAATTAGAGATAGGGTGGGTAATATAATCTCTTTATTTGTTTGCCAACACTTCCCATGATAAGACTATTTTCATTTGCTTGCAGTTTGACTTTTGTTTGGGTAGCAGATTTCCAGGCCAGGTGTCTGCCTCAGGTTGAGTCATTTCAGCTGGAAGGTTTCAGCTACAATTCTTTGGCCATTTCCAAGAATAAGGTGGCAGAGTGGGAAAACTGAGACATGGTAAATACAAATTTTACCATAAAACCAGAAAAAGAACAAAACAAAGGTATTGTGAGAACCTAAGAAGTCTCACCTGCCCCATGGATTTAGCAGCATGGATTTTCAATTCAGGTGATGGCACCAGCCTCAGATGTTTTTACTATACCTATAAAAAGTCATCACAATGGTGCCCAAATGTTGCAGTCTGAGCAAAACCAAGTCAATAAATAAACAAAGCCCCCACTTGATCATATGTGGAGAGGACATTTTGCAGTGACAGAGTCCAAGCAGCACTGAGCACATCCCAGGGGCTGAGTCAGTCTGGTGAGATGTCAGAAATCAGGGCAGATTTGTCACTCCAGTGCTTGAACTTGAAGGATGGCAAAGAGGACTGGAACTGAAGGCCTGGAAAAAGGTTGGGGTATCCAAAGGGAAAGGGTAGTTTTGAGTCTGGAGAACAAGGCAGCGTGGAAATGAGAGCTGAGATGATAAACACTTTGAGCTCAGATTGATTTTGGAGCCCAGAGAAGAGCCAGGACTTGGGAAAGGAGGAACTGGAGAAAACTGAGGAGGCCAGGTCATTCTGAGAAGGAATGAACAGAAAATCAGCATCTTCTATAGAATATTCTTCTCTTTAGGATCTCTGACTCCAACAGTTCTCTGCCTTTGGCAGACATGTACACACCCCTCTGGCAAACCACAAGAGCTGGGCTGAACACAGAGCAACAAACTGGTGCTGCTAAGAATAATTCTGTTCTTGGCAAGGACAAGTGTGCAGTATCCTTAGCAAGGCTAATCTCAGTTATTTCTGATGATGGCAGTAAGTGCTGTTCCCACTTCGCAGGAGGCAGGGGAAAGGGGGTTCAGTTTACTTCACCCAAAAAAAGCTAAAAATAAAATTACACCTAACATAGGCCAAAGCAAAATGTGCTGAAAAGGTTTTATTACAGTTGCAAGGGTGAGTGATCAGCAGGTATGGAATACAGAAATTAAACATGTAAGTAAGTTGTAGTCTCCCTCTGTTACTTGTGCATTACAGGCTGGGTAGTTTGCATGGCTTTCTGTCAGAACGAAGAACTGGCCAAATCATTTGTCTAAATACAAAAAAATAATGCCAAGTTGGCTCGATTTCCAAAAAGCCCTGTTAGGACTCAGGCACGGTTCCATGGGAGTTAAATCTGCCAAGCAAAAACCTGCACCTTCTCCTGCCAGCTCATGCACTCAGCTCCCAGCAGCCAGCTCAGGGGACTGCTGCCTTCCAAATCCAGATTTTGGGAGAGACAAGGGGAAGGCAAGAGCTGGGGGGAGAGGGCAGGGCAGGAATGACAAACCACATTTCTGTGGGACAGAATTATTTGGAGCCTGCAGACCTCTGGCACAGGTGGCAATGCAGAGGAGGGCAGCAGTTATTCCTAAAAGATGGAACAGATTTCACGTGGTGTCTCATTGATTCTTCTGACCAGAAGGACAAAGAAGCAGAGGATCTAAGGTCAAATAGCACAGAAGTTCCCAGCTCCCAAGCTTTTGGCTTTCCCAGAGCCTGCCAGGTGGGAGGATGCACAGCAAGGCTCTGAAAGCCCCTCTCAGGTTCTCTGGCAGCCAAAAGTTCATTTAAAATTATTGTCAAGAAATGTTCTGTTCTCCTATCTGTGACCTTATCATGATTTCTGAAGGATGATTTAACTTTCATTTGAATGTTTGCAAATGTCAAAATACTCTGCAGAGTGGACATCTCTCTTGTGTTTGATGGCATGCTCATGGTGTTGCATGTTTTTATTTAAATGCTGCTTTAAGCCAGTCTTCATCCAAGCCAGAACCAGGATGCTTCACATGCTGGAGGATTTGGAAAGTGGAAAGTAAATGTGGCAGAGGGCTGCCAACTCTAAAAATCAGTTGTTTGCCTAATGCAGATAAATGCTGCCCCATAGAGCCAAATTCTGCATTTACCTTTGCCACAGATCTGCCAGATAAAGCTAATTAAATTACTTAAATCTGTCTTTCCCAGGGGGTTGCTAAGCTGGGTGATGTGACTGCTCTGAAGGAGGAAACAGAACTCTCAGGAGCAACTTCATTTCAATGGGAGCAGAGCTTTGAACATACAAATGCTACATAAAGGCAGGTGAACTGGAAAAATTAAGCTGTAACCTTCTGAAATTGAATATACAAAAAAAGTGTGGATATTTTTGAGTTCAGTTTGTGCCTTATTGCCATTTTTCCTGGTGACCCAGGTGGCTTTTGAAAATGAACACATTGTTTCTGAAACATTCTGATACCACAGAGATGATAAACTCATGAGGAAATTAATAATTATGTCCTCAAAACAGAACACGGGCAGGGAAAAAAAAACACTAAGTAACAGCTCATTCAGCATCATCTATTCTGAGTCATCCTTCAGGTGAATGGCTTGAGGTCACCCACAAAGCTTGTAGCAGAACTGAGAGCAAAGCAAAGGACTTGTATTGAAGAAGGACAGTAATTCTCCTTCTGTTTCTCTGGAAAAAAGTTATACTGATGGTAGGAGAAGCTGAATGGTAAATAAGGATATTTGAGCATTGATTTTGAACTCCCCTTACAATGTCATATTTCAGGGTACTTTTAACCTCCAGTATGCAAGCTGGACTATATTTTGTATTTTTTTGGTATCAAATAGAAGTGCTTAAAAACTCATCCCATTAGCTTTGTAATCTATAAAATCAAAAAGTAACACACACATTAATAATATTTTAAAGCACCAGGCCACTTTTGACTCCCTACTAGTATGTTAGATAAAATCTGCTGTGGCACTGCTGACCTCAAAGCTACAACAGCAGAACATTGAGAACTGCTCAGGTCTGACCTAAAAACCTCACCTGTGACATTTTGGGCTTTGTAGATGAAGCCAAGCTATTAACCTTATTTTCAAATTACAACATCTTTTCAAGGCTTGGAGCAACCTGGTCTAGTGGGAGGTAGAACCCCGTCAAGGAAGGAAAATCATTGCCAAAAATTACAGCTCAATCCAAATTGCTGGAGCTGGCAATCTGCTTTCTGGGGGAGGAATTGTCAAGTTGGAAACTGTAACCTAATGGAAGAAAAAGCAGTATTTCACCTGAGATACCAGTTAGTGTTCTCAGTGACTGGTATTGTTTTGATCTCAGTGCCTGTGACTGCTGGATTTGTTTTGTCTGGATACATTCATTTTGACAGTCATTTGAAAAATGGTATCATTTAAAAGGCAGCTTTTCCCCACCAGAATTTCCATGGTGGCCTCTTAGTGCAGCAGCAACACAGTGACTGATCTGTCATTCAGTTCCTAAACTCTATCAACAGATCTGTGAAATCATTGTAATGTCAAGCAAAGCACAACATACATGAAAACAAAAGGTGATGATGGCTTTTTATGCCACAGCTTGTGACCACTGCCCCTGATGGTCTCAGGTGTGGGAGATGTCATGCCTTTCAGAGTCCAAATTGCTCATGGCTTAAAGCTAATCCCCTAAACTCTTGGAAAAAAAAAATAGCAATTGCATCACTCCAGACTGCTAAGGGCAAAACTAACAGAGCAGAAGGAAGTTGAGATCAGGTGTCTGTAACAAAGTCATTTTACCTTATTGTTCTCTGCATCTTATCTGAGAATGGATACAAGATTCAACCTCTCTTCCTTCCTCTCCTCTGCCTCCAAACATCCCCCCCCCCCCAAAAAAAAAAAAAAAACCAAAAAACAAAACCAAAAAAAAACAACCCAGAAAAAGTTTCTAATAACTTGAGGAACAGTGAAATTATACTCCAATTCTTCCTACAGGCTGACAAAAAGTGCAGTATTTAGTGGCCCCATTGCTCAAAACTAGGTGCTACTGCAATCAGGTTTTCTGTCTTTTGTGTCCTCATGAATAGGTCTGAACATTGCCAATGTCAGAACAGTCAGGACACAATGGTAAAAAATTCCTATTCTCAATCTCTTTCTGAAGTCTTTCAGGGCCATCTGAACATCCTGGTTTTGGACTATTTGAATAGATTTGAAGCATCGTATTAGAATTTCAAGTCACATTTATTTACAGTGTTATCTTTCTAAGCATGAAGAGCACTCAGATAATCACTTAATAAGAGGAAAGCAAGGTTAATGCTTTTAGTTCCTGTCCCTGCTTAGTGGCAAAAGTACAGACATTAAAATTCTCATCTCATGTTCTAAAAGCCAGAAAGTCACTGGCTAATGAAAATTGGAACTTTGTTGTCCAGTGGAGAAACAGCCACCAGTGAAATGTGTGTGACAGACCATTAATTTCCTGATTTAGTTGTAGTGAAAAGTGCTCATGGCAAACTTGAGCTGCAAAGCCCCTACTCAGAGGCAACAAAAACAACAAGGACCAGCTGAGCCAAGGAGGGTAAAAACTCAGGAGAGAACAAGACACAATGACTGATTAGCTCTGTGTCACCATTAAAAATAAACGCAAATCTGGATAAACCTCCTCAAACCGCTCGCTATCCGCCCGCCAGGACAATCCGACGCGCGCAATTCCACCCCGCAATTAGCCGGGCTCCGCTTTTCCCAGCCGTCCTCACCTTTCACTGTCACGTGCACGCTCTGGCTGGTGGACAGCTGGGGCTGGACCAGGACATTGCAGGTGTACTCGCCCTCGTCCACCTCCTTCTGCACGTCCGAGAGCTTCAGCGTGCCGTTGTTCTCGAACGCCACTTGGCGATGGTTGAAGGGCAGCAGGTTGGAGTTCTTGTACCACTTGATGGAGTAGTAGGGGTAGCCGATGACCCTGCAGTGGATGTAGGTGTCCCTCCCAGCGATGGCCGTGATGTTCTTCATGGGCCGGATGCTGGCTGGCCCTGCCAAGGCAAGGAAAGGAGCTCTTGAGGACAATTTAGAGGCACGTTTGCTCGAGGGAATGTGTGTAATGATTTCTGGATATACAGATGTTAACAGGCGCGGCTCACACTTCTTAGCGTTTGACATATTTTTACTTTTAAGAGCTACTTAAGCAGTTTCCCTAATCTTTGTATGCTCTACTTTTTCCTTACCCTGCAGCATCCATGCTAATTATGTGGGGGTATATATTTGTGTTATCCAACACTTGCCTGATAAAATCTTTGCTGTGTTACAAATTAAAAGGCTGAGTGTGATTTAATTAATGTGAAATACTAACACTGATATGGAGCTAGACTCCTGTTACACATGAGAACATTGAAACAATTAGCTTTTTTATTTGCTATGTATATAAAGTATATTTATACCCATGAGGATGGGTATTATGCCATGTAGAGCCAGAAATTCAAGCTAAAGTTCTGTATACATGAATAATTACAATGGATGTTGGACAAGTAAAGGAGGAAAGGAAAAGGAAAACAAAACATGCACAGCAGGACTAAAGCAAAGAGACTGTGAACTAGTAGAGATGAGCAGAGGAAAGACAGACTAAAGGACACAAGCCAAAGGGTTCTTCCAACATTTAACCATACCATACACTTTCTAGATGGGGCTGTAGAGGCAGGGTGGGAAAAGAGAGCGGGGGGAGGAAAGAAGAGGACAAAACCAGAAAGCCGGTTTTTGGCATTCCAAAGTCTCATCGCATGCAACAATCTTCTTCTCCACTACAATGAGCTATGTGTGTTTTTTTTTTTTTTTGAGGAGCTGATTTGACAAGCACCTCTTACGTTTATTCGAGCCTGGTACAGGACGACTCCCGCAGAGTTGTTGGCAGTGCAGCGATAAACGCCCCCGTCGCGGACCTGGGTGTTGGAGATGTTCAGGTAACTGACCACGTTGCCCTCGGAGGTGATGATCTGGCTGATCCGGTGGCTGCCGTCCTTCACGATGGGATCCTCGTCCAGTGTCCAGGTGATGGTGGGCAGGGGAGTCCCCTTCACGTTGCACATCAGGGACACTGGCTCTCCTGGGCTCACCACTTTCTCGCTGAAGGCAGAGATGATTTTGGGGGTTCCATCTGCCGAGGGAGAGAAGAGCAGGAAAACAGTGCTGACGTGGTGTAAAGCCTGTCCCCTCTATCCTGGAGCGTATCCCACAAGCCAAGATCTTTCTTAGAAGCAACACAAGCAATTGTTTTCCAGGATGTAACCCTAATTATTGAGAGAGGGAAATAAATTCTGCCAGTAGAGGACTTAAATGACCCTTTGCTTATGGCAAGTTTCTTTTACATCTTCTGAGAAAGCTGGTAGTGGCTCTGCTGTAGGAAAAACACTTGAGTAGGATCAGGCATGTCTATGAACTGCTGTGTTCCTGCAGAAAAGTTTTAAAACCATATGTGTTTTAAAACCATATGGAGTTCATTATAAAAGACATACAGCAAAACCTCAGCACATTTGGAGAGTCTCTTCTCCTGGTAGATTTTAGATCCTTGGGAAGTTAAGGATGCATCCATCCTGTTGCCAAAAGCCAGTCACAACTTGCATAGGCTGACTTCCCACAGCAGTTTAGTCCTGACATGCAATGCCCCATTTAGGAAAGTATTAAATTAAGCTTTTCTGAATACAGATTGCCAGTAACAGCAATGATGCCAATTTCTTTCAGCGGTCATTTTGTGCTACAGATGAATATTTCTCTGAATGAGAGCATTCAAACACTTTATCTTGTGAACTGTCTCTTAAAATACTCAGCCATACCAGGGAAATGAATCAAGAAAATGGGTGGGCACAAAAACTTTGCAAGCAGGGAGCAGGATTAAATACCCACCTCTCCAGAGAGTTCAGTGGGGTATCATTTAGGAGTGCTGATACCCTAGTATTAGTTAGGAAGTCCTTTCTGTGGTCATGCAGAGTGTGTTTGTTTTCCTTTAAAAACAGGGCTTTTTTATAAAAAATACCTTGCTTGTCACATGGTAAAAAGATAAGCACTGGCATATTCAGAATGTTGAAAGGTCTCAGCATCCCTGGAAGAGCATTTGATTTTATTTGATTTCAATTTTTTTACCTCTGCCCCCTCTCTCTTTCATTTCTGTCCCATTGGTTATGTGACAGAGTTTCTAATTTATTTATTTATTTTCATTCCTGACTCTCTCCCTTTCCTTTGTGGTGTACTGGATACTGTCACCCCTCAGAAAACAGAATAGCAGCAACACAAAAAAAAAAGAAAAAAAAAGGCACTTTTTCTCCTGAAAGGGAGCTGACACAGGACCAATAAATCTGTGAGCGTGCACACTATGTACCTCTGCCACCCCTCCTCCTCTTTTTCCCCCCCTTTTTTTAATTCAAGTGACAGGCTTTTTTTTGAGATGAAAGCAGACATTATTTTCCCAGTGAGACCTGAGTGTCTTTGAAATCCTCCCTGCTGTTGCTCTCTGATAACCTGCACTCTCCCGACACCATGATAGATTATCAATATGCTCTTTAGGCTTTCCTAGTCACGGGAGATGGTTGCCGAGGTAACTCGGTCCAGGCAGGTAATCTCTTCTTCTTCTACAGAGACTGTAAAAATAGTGTCCATGCCATGCCTGCACCACAGCCTCATTAGAGAGATGCCTCTGTGCAAATTGATGACTTTCCTCACTAGATTATCATGTAGAACATTGTATCAGTTATTTAAGACGATCTCCAAGCCGTCAGCCAATACTCCCAACCAGAAAAGCAATGCTTGGATTTTTAACAGAGACCTGCTTGGGAAGGATTTTTTTTTTTCCCCAAATTGATTTTTCCATTCTCTTATGAGTAGAGCACGGTAAACCCTATGGACATTTCATAAGTACCCTGTTTTTTTGTAAACTCCACTGGTGCCAAAATGATTTTTGCTTTTATATATTCTTCATATATATTCGTAACTCTGTAGACCATTATTGTATAGTTACACTGTTCCTAGCTAACTCCAGTACTTTTCCTACCCTGATAGACAGAAAGACAAAACACATTCCCAAAGGTCTCAATCCCATCTTGCTTTTTCCTGGGAGCCAAGGATGAGCTATCCTCCCAAGACACTTTCTTATAAAAAAAGTACAGCTAGTAGCTGAAGAAAAAGGGCCTCCAGAAGAGGTGGAACCAGGGGGGAGAATTACCTCTTTACATGAGGTTCTAACTGGGAATTCCTGTCAATTTTGCTGATTTGCTAAACTTATAAAACTGTATGCACCCTATGTGGGGTGGTTATTTTTCCATATCTGCCCCTGGAGACCTCCAATTAAAGACCAGGTCCTATTACCTTCTTATTTTTATTACAGATTACTTCCTATATCTATACTGTGTCCAATTCTGGGCCCCTCGGTTTAGGAAGGATGTTGAGATGCTTGAGCACATCCAGAGGAGGCAACGAAGCTGGAGAGGGGCTGGGAACACAAACCCTGTGAGGAACCACTGAGGGAGCTGGGGGTGCTCAGCCTGGAGAAAAGGAGACTCAGGGGTGACCTTATCACTAAAACTCCCTGAAAGGTGCCTGTGCCCAGGTGAGGCTGGGTTCTTTCTCCAGGCAGCCTTGACAGAACCAGAGGTCACAGTATCAAGCTTGGCCAAGGGAAATACAGGTTGGATATCTGGAAAAAGTTTTTCATGGAAAGAGTGATAAATTTCTGGAATGGCTGCCCGAGGAAGTGGTGCAGTCACCATCCCTGGGTGTGTTTAACAAAGCCTGGATGTGGCACTGGGTGCCAGGGTTTAGTTGAGCTCTTGGGGCTGGACTCGATGATCTTGCAGGTCTTTTCCAACCCAGTGATTCTGGGAATTCTGTGAATATTGTCTCGAAAGCGCATCACTTCATTTCTAGATCTTTAAGGCACCACCTCTCTAAAACGACATCACCAAAGCCAACTTGTGCGTAATTTTGAAAACCAGACCTGCCAGGCAGGTGGAGACTGACCTTCCAGCACCACCTGGACGTAGTCTTGAGCTGACATCTTGTCCTTGCGCACAAAGCACTGGTAGGCGCCGCCGTCGCTCTTGGCCATGCCGTCCATGATCAGGTTCTCGCGGTTGACCCCGGTGATGCGCACGTTGTTGCCAGGGTTGATGATTTCCCCGTTGCGGTACCAGGACAGCTCCTGGTCCTCGGTCCCCGTCACGCTGCAGGACAAGGACACTTGGCTACCGACGCTGCTTTTGACTTTGCGCGGGCTGATGGTGGCTTTTAGCGGTTCTGGAGGTTTGAGTCGAAACAAGGGAGAGAGAAAGGGAAATAGAGCATATTCAGTATAAATGTGCATTTGTGTGCGAGTAACAAATCAACTCTCAGTTAAGGAGAACATTAAAAATCACAGCCATACCCTTCTTAAAAGAAAACATCAAAACAAATAACAGATAACTGTATTGCTCTAAAGTAACCATATTTCCACCAATGCCCATGACAAAAAAATCTACAGGGATAACAAATTCAACACATAATCCCGTGCCCAGGTGAACAGTAGGACTAGACCTACAAGTAACACCACTAGTGCTGAAGGATTTAACATGGCACTGCACAGGTTTTGGGAGGGCGGGAGGTTATTTCACATTAGTTCAGTGTGGACCTTTGAGTCTTGTGCATTAAGTACACTCCTGAAACTCATTTTCTGGTTTAATTTCTGGCAAATGGAACCAAACTTACACTTTCCCAAACTACTCCCTGATGTGAACAAGTGCAATAAATGTCAATTACAAGATTAGCTTTCAAGAGTGGAAGATGTTAATGCAGGTACACCCATGGATATCCATCTGAATGTCCACATGGAAGTGTTTCAGTGTGTGGGCTCACCAGATTTTCTGCTTTGATGTGGGAGGATTACAATATTTTCAAGTCAGCCTAAAGAAACAGTGGACAGGAAAATGCAAGATTTACGTGGCAAAAAAGAGGATGAACAGCACTGAAGAAAAGTCATAAATGTAAATGCAAGGAAAACAGTCTTTATCCTGCCACCTAGGATTTATCAGCACTGCAGAACACAGATTTCATCTCATGCCCTGTACAAATTCATTTGACTTCCTTACAATGATAAGGGATTGCTATCACCACTGATACTATCTCTGGCACAAAATACAGGCTATCCTATTTTTTCTTCTAACAGCTTGCATACACACACGTGCACAAACAAACTTAAAAAAGAAAAGTAACTTATTCACTTTATCAAATATTTTATAACATCAAAGTTGGAATAAATCCATATTGGTTAATCAGGAACAGAGGCCTGGAAAAAAACACACGGTGGCCTCAGACATTCAGATGCATGTTAAAAGTCAGTGATTATCTCTGTTTTCTATAAGAACAATACAAAAGCTAAAAACTGGCAACAATCCATTAAACAAAGTAGACACACTCAAGTGTATCACCAATATCCCCGAGCCATGATGATGCAAGCAAGCCACATCCTCCATTGCAGAGGAGGGTAAAATTTCTTTGCCCAGCTTTTACTTCCTGCCAGACTAATCCAGAGAATTTCCACTGGCTGTCTGAGTGCAGAGTAATTAGGAAAAACTCATCACCAGGAACTGGGGATGCTTTGGGTATCATCAGCAGTACAATTACATCATGTGTCTGCAAGTTTTGACTTTGCATCATACAAGACAGATGGAATTCAACTCCTTTTTTTATGAGTAGTTTGATGAATACATTTAGAAACAAAGCTCCTCAGTTATAACTCAAAAATGGCAGATTTTTCACCTCGGTTTTATTTTGCCCAAAAACATTATGTGCAATTATTTGTGAGGATGTTTTTACGCTCTGAACTGCTCACAAACTTCTCCCTTTTCAGTTTGCTAGTCATGCTGTCTAGGTGGAAATGTTAGTTCACAGAGCATTATTTCTATTCCAGGAAGTAATTTTGTGGTTTTTTTCAACAGTAGTAGCATAACACTTTTCCAGTGTGGTGCTCCTGAAGTAATAATTATCTTTGTAGAATTTGTGAAACATTCAGAATATTCACACATGAATACTCAACTGAGGGGAAGTATGAGTATTCAATATTACTGAGCACCATGAGTCATGGCAATGAGAGTTTGGCAGCTTTATTTATGAGAACATTTGCAATTTCTTTTCCAGCACCCAATTCATGCTTCTAAATTACATATCCTCCATGTGATAAATTATAGAGCTGCACTGGAAATTGCATCCATTTGCACTTCTGATCGCTCAATTGGCCAACTAACTCATCTCCACAGAGCCTGCTTTGTGTCGTTCCACAACTTTGAGGACTTTAATCATTGCTAGGGCAAATTAAGGAAACAGAAAGTACAGCTAGGTAAGATAACAACTTGATACTGATGCCTAAACAGTTTTGCTTTTATGAATTTTTCACATATTTGTAGCCCTGAAGAATATTATCACGGAGTTATGTAGCTCCTAGTATTTTTCCCACCATCTCTCTCAAATTTTAGAACAATAAGCTAACATTCTAACACATTCCTGAAATGCTGTTTAGTCCTATTTTCAAGTAGAGGACCTATACAAAGAACATTTTGTTTCACAACCAGAATCTGAGAAGACATAACAAGAAGCGAGGCAAAGAAGTCCTGGACCTACTCAAAAATTACCTAACCAACTGCTCTTTAATTGGACAGTATTCATTAAGAATACTAATTTGTTAAACTTATAAAATTGTGGAGATCCAGTACTGGGTGTGCCCATGACCATTAGGACACCGGGAAGCTTCCAATCAAAAGTCTGCTTTTTATTTTACTATTTCAGCACTGTTGCAAGGGTTTTTCTCTTTGGATATCAGGCAACAGCACCAACAATCAACTGTGATGGGATCTTTCACCCCCTGACACAGCAAAAGACTTATCTACTTCCCCAAGTCTAAACTAGGCCTGAGTGGTTTGTCTTGTGATGAATTATATCTCGGCTGAAAACACCTTTAGGCAGCAATAAACATACTGAATGCATGGGAAAGGATAAACAGAAATAAGTGACCAAAAAACAACGACTTTTGCCATTCTAAAAGACCACCACAATTTTAATAAAATCAGAAATCTCTTTCTGAGTGTGTGGAGAGTTTTCCTCAATGCTGAGATGTTGGTATTGAGATACTTCCCTGGGATTGAGAGAAATTAGGAGACTTCTGCACATCACTATCATTCACTGGTAAGTGACTCTGGCTCCTAATCTAAACTATTTCTTTATAGTTTAGATAACTAAACTAGCTACAGCTAGTTTAGCTACAGCTAACTGTAACACAGGTACATTTATTATAGTACACTGTGTTTTTATCTACTAGTAGATCTTTTTGTGTTATCCTGTGTGGTAAGTAAGTCTATTTAAAGTCTTGTGTCTATTTTCCTCGTACTTATTCTAAATAATTCATGTTGTAGTAGACCTGAGTGGTCATTACGAAGGACTTGTGAGTGAGAATGGGTTTTGGGGTGCTGGCTGTGGCAGGATGTGTCCTCCCCCTCTCCATCACAGATGATTGATGCACATGGAAGAGATAACCCAGGCAGGTGAAAGGCCCAAAGGGGTCATCTCTGGCACCAAAAGGGTTCAGGTGCCAGCTAGAAATCAACATCTCAGTCTGGAGAGAAGATGTGGGAAGGGATAAAAGCAAAATAAATATTCTCAAGTGAGAGACACTGTTTTACAAAGACTATGAAAGACACATGAATTATCACGGAGGTAGAAGCCTCCTACACACACATCCCCTGACAAAAATACGGGACTTCCCTGGAGTCTGGACGCAGATTCCATGGTTACTTTCCTGGGAATTGAGGGAAAGGATTTTGATGTGTGCTCCATCACAAATTGGTTGGTAAGAAACATTGGTTCCTAAGTTAAATTATTTCTTTGCTAGCTGTAAAATTAATGGTACCTTTACCCTCATGCTGTATTTATTTACTAGTAGCCTCTTTTGTCCTTATTCCTGTGGAGTATATAATCTGTTTTAAGTCCTGTGTCTGTTAGTTTTGTGTCCATTAAATAAACAATTAATTCTATAATAGACCACATCAGCCATTAATAAAGAACTTGTGAATGAGAGTGGATTTTGTGGTGCTGGCCACCTCAATAAAGCTCCTGCCTGCTGCCAGAGGCCTGGGCAAAAGGCAGGGACTTACCTAAACCCCCACATCTACTCATAACACTGGCCACCTCAATAAAAGCTGCTGTCTGTGGGGTTTTTTGTATTTATTTTCTGCCTCTGTTGAGGTTGGGATTGAAGGCACTTGAGACAGTATTTCATGTTTGGACTCAGGTTATTATTTCTTATCAGTGAAAGAGTCTCACAAGCATGAGTTCTGCAGCCTTTTATTAGCAAGGCATAAAATGGTTAACCACCTCTTGTTACAAGGCCTTTTAACACTAAACTATATAATTAAGAAATGACACTTAGATTATTTTTCCTTTTAACCCAATAACTGATCCTTCAAAGCCTGCAATGCAGACTTATCTGTCCAATGACACTTAGATTATAAGAAGAAGGTGAAGAAGGTGAAGAAGGAAGAAGAAGGTAAAGAAGAACAACCTGCCTCCGCCCTAAAACCTCCATCTTGCTTTGTATTTATTCTTGTATTCTAAAACCTCAAACTCTAAGTTTTCTACCCTGTGAAATTACACACTTCTAATTAATTAACACACCCACAATCCTAGTGTTATCCATCAATTTCGGAAGTCCCCACCACAGCCTCAGACGTAGCGCTCTCTTGCCAGTCTGCGCCTTTCAGCACACAAAGTTTAACATTCTCAACATCTAGCATTCCAACAGCTGTCCACTGCCAGAACCTTGTCCCAGGGAGGGACTGCTCCAGAGCCCTGTCCCAGGCAGGGACTGCTCCAGAGCCCTGTCCCGGGCAGGGACTGCTCCACGCTCTCCCTCTCACTGGTAGCACCAACCCCGCGACCTACGTTTGACGTGCAGGCGGCCGATCACCTCGGCGGTGCCGTAGTTGTTCCACACCTCGCAGACGTAGCTGCCCGAGTCCGAGGGCCGCGTGTTCTCGATGAGCAGCCCCGTCACCGTCTGCCTGAAGCGGCTGTCGGGCTCCCAGGGCACGTTGTCCTTCAGCCAGCGGTACTTTGGTGCCGGGTGCCCTGATGCTTTGCAAGGCAGCTCCACTCGCTGTCCTGCCATGGCTTTGCGGTGGTCAAACCCATCTAGGATAGATGGAGCTGAATTCGCTGGGTCTGAAGCAGGAAACACAGAGAAACTCCTTTCAGCCAGAGGCTTAAAATTAACTCGCTAAGCAATGTGTCAATATTTTTTTCTCCTGCATTTTCTGACTCGCCTGCCCAGTGTTTTGGGCACTACAGTTTGCTTCTCTGACCCAGCCACCAGTTTGAGTTGTGGTGGCTGGGATCCAGCAGCACATGCTGCTGAAGCAACTCATCACTGCTTGGAAATCCTCTCACTGGATTTTTTCCAGGTGGCAAACATTTTGCTGGTCATCCTTCATGTTCCCTGTGAGAGGCACAGGGAGCCAGAAATGTGTTGCCTTAGCAATTATTGCCACTTCTCGACTAGATTGGAGCCAACACATTGTCCCTTCTCTCGGTGGTCTGAAGGCTTTGAATTAAAGGAGCAATTTATTCCCTTGTCAGGAGACAAATGGGCAAAGGCACAGGGATTTCTATCTGCAGTCAAAATGACAGACAAGCCTTTTTTTCTTCTGTGGGAAAAGAACTTAACGTGACAAGACCAACTTACAGCTTAATAGTGCATCTTTCTGTGCTCAATTTGCTGACAATTGCAGCCCTCACTTGTGCAGCACCTGGCACAGATTTATGTATCTCACAGATGTCTGGCAGGATTGCCTTCACCAGAGGTGCATGTGCCCATCAGAAATAGTGCTTGGTTTGTAATTTCCAGTTTGAAAATTTTGCAAACAGAGGTTGACACTATTTTAAATTTTTGTGCAGCCCATCCTGGAGCTATTGCAACAAAAATACTGAACAAATATTCATCAAAGTATTTTCTCATCACACACACATGCTTTGCTAAGATTTCTGTCTCATAAAGAAATTCCATATGCTGAGTACCTCCTACCTGACACACTGACCTCTTTTTGGGTATATCTAATCTTTTTTGGATATATCTAATTTTTGGGTATATCTAATCACAGCTGACTGGATGTAGGTGTGATTGCCACAATTCTGGCATTTCCAAGAGTCATTTTAACTTAGCAAACTCAGGTGCTGCTCACAGGGCAGCTGCAGCAGGTTCCTGTATGGAGCTGGAGAGATTAAAGGAGCAGTTCATGCTGAATTCAAGCTATTCCAAAAGTAATCAGTACCTGAGCTAGCTGGTTTAAAATGAGCTTAAATATATCTTTATGAATTGCAGCCACAACTGGGAGGGCACCCAGGAGAGCAAACATCCCAAGGCTATTCAACTTAAACTATCAATCCAGAAACCAAAACCATGACATTAAAAAATGGACTAATTTTTTAATTTTTTTTTTTTTTTTTGGTGTGTGTGTGACTGTAGCTCAGTAAAACCCCCAAATGCCAAGTCCAGTGAAAGGCGACAGCAGAGGTTTTTCTGCTTTCTAGGTGCCAGGAAAACACTGAGCCACTGAGGGCAAAGCCACATTCAGCTTGCTGAGTGTCTCATTAGGAAGGTGTCGGCCGTGGTTAAATGAGTGGTTTTGGATGAATCAGTGGCCTCGAGGTCCACATTTGGCACCAAGATGGGAGAAATTTTTGAGCTTGCCATGCTGTTTATGTCTGGCTCAGTGAAAGCACAATCTGCCAGGATGCTGTTGGGAAGGCCAATTTGACTAATTGATCAGCCAGCTCCTCTCTCACCCTTTGGGTCATCAGGCTTCCCTGTTACCAGGCACAGATTCTTTTGTGGGGAATTAACTGAGAGCAAAACCACAAGCAGGCACGGAATTATAGCTTCTGGCTCTCAGGAAGGTTACATCTACAGGAAATAAATTACTACTTCAGTTGGAAGTAGTAATTAAATATTTAAATAATTTAAAAGCATAACTGTTTTTTAGAGGCATTGTCTGTGCATTCCTGCTCAAGCAGCACAGCAGATCCTGGGTTCTCTATCCCAGGGTCATTTTCCTTTGTTCCTTCTCAACTTGAGCCTTGTCAGCTGCAGCACAGCCTGGAGTCCCAGTTGCAGGACAGCTAAAGTGAGATTTGCCTACATAATGAAGAAAATTTCTCCATGCTGTTATAGAGGAGGTTTTACAAATATATTCAGGGATACACAAGATATGATTCCAGTGACCTGTTTTCTTCCACTTTGTGGAAGAAAATATATTATACATATTATACATTTAAATGGACAGTAAAAACATTGCTTTGGGTTGTCCCTGGAACAGACTCCTATTTAAAACTCCTACAGTTCATATATTCCAGTAAAGGGGGAAAATCCCAAAAAAACAAAAACCAAACAAAGCACAAAAGAAATCCAAGGGTTCATTTGCAATCAGCTGCAATGAGGTAAAAAATACCAAAGTAACATAAACCAGTTCCAATATGTGTTTAGCCTCTTTTGAATTATTATTTTACTATGCTCTGACAGTCTGCTGCAAATGACTTCCAGCAAGGACAATGGTGAAAAACTGAAAACTGAGGCAAAAATACTGTTTTGAAATATTCTACTTTGGACCTTCTTTGAAGGACAGAAGAGGAAAATTCTTGTGTTTTAAAAATCATAAGGATTTTTCAGAGTGTAGAGGTTAAAAAGCAGTAATGATTTTGGGAGATGGGATTCATGGCAGGACACAATTTTAGTTAGAAAAGGACACTATAATGAGTCTTAGAAGTATATTCTGTTGCATGTTAATGGCTTTGGGTTTAATTTTATTTAGAAAGGCCATGTGATTTCAAGGAGATGTTTTTACTCCAAATGAAAATTGGAACTTCAGTTTGTTCATTAATATGGACATATTAATTATTCACTATTTTTGCTATTTTTAAATTTTACTTGCTATTATCTGCACATTACCATTCTCACTGTTTCAAAACAATAATGAAGCTTAACTTGTGTTAAATGTGGCCAGGAAACATGAGAAATATCCACCACAAACTATTTCAACCCTAAACAAGTGAAGAACAAATATGGATGGAAAAGGCAAGCAAAAATGTAGGTCTCATGCAAGGAGAGTTTTCAGAACTATGTTCATGGATTCTCTGATCCCAGTTCTTAAAGGAATCACTCTTTAGAAATACAAATTCCAGTAAAGAAAAAGGAAAACCTGTTAGAGAAATATTAAGATGCAAACTCTGCCCCTGATTGCTGCACCTGCTCAGTAGATTAACAGGACTGGAAACCAGAGCCCACTCTAGTCCTGATCAAGATAATTAACCCTGTTGAATTAAAAAAGCCAGTTATTGCACACAGGTACAATTTGCTATTTCAATTTGGTCTGCAGAAGAGAATAGAAAAGGCAACTCTAGACAGAGAACATCCTTTAAGGTGTTCATTTGTCCTAAATTTCAAACCAGACAGAGCTTTCATTTCCCCCTTTTGTTCAGTGAGATAACCAGAATTTTTCCTGTGGTAACCAAGATACAAGCCTGATTTTATTTGTGCTCCCACTGGCTCAGCCTTAACATGATTTCACACGGAAGCAGACCATATTATGGAGCCAGCTGGAAGGGTGGAATCCTGCCTGTTCTCAAAAGACCACAGCAGGCAGATTATTGTGCAGGAGAACTTCTTCATCTGGTTGGGGAAGCAGAGGTGTTCTACCCACAGGGGACACCTATCAAAGGGAGAAACTCCTGGAACTGACTGGTAAGTGATTCTAACCTGAACAATCCCACTATTTTTATTTTTTTTTTAAATCATTACTATATTTAAGTACTGGCCTGTGTGTTCAGAGGGCTTCAAGATACTTCAACAATGTCCATTTTGGAGGAGGGCAAGAGTCAGGTCAATAATGGGAAACCTTGTGCTCACCTCTGTCTCCCTTAGGGCTCTCAAACAGAGGGGTGGAGAGCTGAGAACTGAACCCTGGAGTTTTATTCTGACAGAAGAGGAGAGGAAAGGGTCAAAAGGGGAATGACCCCACTGACTGTCAGATTGGGAAAGTCACCAGATCCTGCCTGACCTTTAAGGAAACTTAGCAACAGGGAAAAGGAGAAAAAGCAGTGTGGGGCTTTCAGTGGGATGGTGGGGATGGTTTATGTAGGGTAAGGATATGGGGAGAAAGTCTGGGATACAGCCTCAGTGAGCTCTGTAGATGTAGGAAAAGCACTCTGGATTTGCTCACCTGCAAGCAAAGGGAGCAGCTATGGACAAGCAGCAAACGAGGGACAGGAAGGGGAGGTGGAGAAGTGCTAATCCTGCACAGAAATGTTTGAGAGCAAGTTCCAGACCCAGGCTTGGGGTCAGCTCCTCCTTCACCTCACCCACAACTGGCACTGCCTCTCACTGAGGAAAAAATGGGGAAAAATCTGTGTTGGAGCAGCAGTGTATTGAGAGTGTGGTGACTGTGAGGAGCCCAACTGCCCATCACACACACAGCAAGCAGGAGTTCATTTAAAACGACAAGGAAAAGTTAAAATAGCCCATTCCACCTTTTTATTTTCCCACCTGTTGCACAAATTGCCCTGGGACTCAGCCCAGAGCTGCCTCCCAGTCCTCCTGTCTGCCTGCAGCACCCCTGGGTGCACTGGCACAGGTCACCTTCTCCTCCTGGCTGGAGATTCCTCCTGGAAGCAATGGAACCTGCTGCTTTCCCCAGGTGTAGTGGTTTTGGTTTGTCAATTTAAGATTTTTTTTGGCTAATGTATTAATGAGTGTGGTGGGTTTAGTGTTGGCTAATTGCTAGTGTATTTATTAGAATGTATTTATTATTTTTTTTTTTTTTGTGATGTAGGATTAGGAGAAAGGTGAAGCAGGTTTAAAATTTTAAAAGGGTATAAAGAAAAATTTATTAATAGTAATTAAAAGGAAGAGTAGTAAGAATTAGAATAAAACTTTTAGGACACTTCTTTTGACATTTTCTTTCTTAATGATAAGGTCAAGAAATTAAATTTAAGATTTTAGTCAGTTTACTACTTTAGAATAGTCTTTTTTTAGTTTACTTAGGAAGAGAAGTTTTTTTAATTAATGTTAGAGAGACTTTTTTATAAGTAAATAGTTTCTTGTGGTTTTTAATTTTTACGAATAGCAGTCACCTGGGGAAATTTGTAATTGTGAAATCTCACTTTTCATAAGCTTTTCTTATAGTTGTATTTATGGGTTATGTTAATTTATAGGGTATTGTTTTAAAGATGAGTTGTTTAAAGGTAAATGTTTTCATTATTTATCTCTGAAATAACTTTTTTTTGGGGGGGGGTGGGGTATAAGATCTTCATTACTTTTTTCTCTTTCTTTGTTTAAACTTCTTATAGGATCAGAGCTACTTTAATATTTACTTACTTCAGTATAGGTAGGAGTGGGACGAATGAAAAGAAAGGCTGAAATGCACCTCAGGTAGCCTGAGAATCCTGAGGTGGAAATATCTACAGCTGAGTGCAATGTCCTGAACTCCTGCTGAGGTCAACAGAGAGGAAAGGCTCCTTGGGGCAGTTCAGATGACCCCAAAGCAGGACAGGTGCACTACCCCTAAAAGTGTTCCTCTTCTTTAGCTAAACAGTGAGGTTAAGGTGATTAAGTTCCCCTGCACAAGTCTAGTTTTGGAGGGATGAATCCCATCCACAGTCCCTGTATAAAGTACTCCAAACCTGCTAAAAATCACCATGCTGAATCCAGGTGCACCTCCAGGAAACAGCAACTAAGATGTGAAAAACATATTGAAAAAAACTAAAAGTTTTAAAATGGCCCATCTTATTTTACAGCAGCTCCCCACTGCCATTTGACAGAAACCACCCAAGAAGGCGCCTTGAGAGAGAGACACAGGCAGCATTTCATTTAGCAAGATGCAGAAAAGGAGCACCTGATACAAAAAGTCTTGCGCTGTTGCTCTGTCGTGTTTCTCCAGTGTATCTGTGCCTTGTGATGCAGCGGTAGTTGTACAGTCCATCTTCGTTTTGTACATCTAAAATATACAAGGCTCCCGTGGATGTGATGAGAAATCTAGGTCCTGAAAGACACAAGAATTTGCAGGGTTTAAAGTATCTGCAGGTTATCCACGCTGAAGGATGGAGGGCACAGGGCCTGGAGATTTTTTTTTTTTGTTGCCAGGTTTGAAGCTGCCAATTCCAAGCTCACCAAGTGATCACTGTAAATGCACAAAAGGAATGAATTAATGTGTATGTTATTTGTGCTTAATATGAAGAAATGGAGGGATCTTTAAGGAAAATGTGAGGAATGAGGGAAAGAAATGTGACTATTAACAAACACACAAGGAGCATCTGAAGTAAAATAAAGGGTAAAGAAGCAATGCATTGACCCCGTTCAGTTCAGTGCTGTAGGATGATCTGATGCAATCCAGCAGCAGAGCTGTAGGGGTTAGAGAGGCAGGGAAGCTGATCCCACCTGCAATGCCTGCAAGTTAAACAGCTCCAGTGTGAGGGGCAGTCCCACCCCATCTTCCCAGCAAAAGCCACAATCTCCAAAACCAAACAAGTCTGACATGTTCAAGGTCAGAGTTTCTACCATTCGTTCTCTCAAAATAAAATATTACAGCTTACATTTTCTTCAAATATTACTTTTTTTTTTTATTATTAGCTCTAGACTATGTGGAAAATACCACAGTTTATATGGTCACATGAGCAGTTTTGATCATTTGGCCCCCACAGAACTGTCTCTGTTCTGTTTCATGCCCACTTTAAAAGCAAGGACACAAACCCCCCTAAAATCAATGTGGTACATGTTTGCTCTAATGCACTTTCAATAGTGCAATAAATTGAAATAATGTGTTTAGAATGCATTGTAAACTTAAGCCTCACCTGGTTAATATGTCCACTTAAAAATACCGTAGTCTAAGCTGTGTGTGCTTTTCCAAAACTTTTACACTGAAGTAAATGTGAATATCTTTTCCTTTTCATGTCCGCTAAATTTCTCTGTAGCTGGTAGCTCTCACAATATATGTACCTGTACCTAGGTATTATAAAATATATCAGCTCCAGAATTAGGGGAGAAATACACAAGGCTGAAACCCATTATGAACTAATATCCAGTAATATGCACTAAGAAAGAATTCCTTTTCTTCAGAGCTCTGTTTGAACAATGACTTTTTAATAATTAAGTGTAGTCAGGATGCTTGCTCACAGATGCTTCAGTAGGAAAGCAATCCAACAGAGAGAAGAAAGCAAGGAAATGGTTTCATTACAGATGGTGATATACTTTAAACCATAATATAAAAGAAATTGGGAAAAAAATAACATTTAATGTCACTGGTCTGACTCTAAGAGCAGAGAACATTGAATAAAACAACACCAGCCCATCTCTCCCATCCTTGGAAGTATCCAGAATTATTAAATAACAACACCAGGGTTAAATAAGTTGTGGAGTTGTTTAGTGTGGAGAAAAGGAGGGGTGATGTTATTTTTCTCTAAATCTCCCTGACAGGAGAAGGAAGCCAGATGGAGTCAGGCTCTGCTCCAGGGAACAGGGACAGGAGCAGAGGGAACGGCCTCAGGCTGGGCCAGGGCAGGCTCAGCTGGGACAGCAGCAGGAATTTGCCCATGGAAAGGGTGCTCAGGCCTTGGCAGGGGCTGCCCAGGGAGCTTTGCAGTGCCCATCCCTGCAGGTGTCCCCTGGAGGTGGCACTGAGTGCTCTGGGCTGGGGACAAGGTGGGCATCAGGCACCAGCTGGGACTCCATGGGCTGGGAGGGATTTGCCAGCCTCAGGGATTCTGGGATTCTGGGATAACATAAATAACCATAACTGAAGCATAAAAGGTGTTGAGCTCTTTTGCTGATGAAGAAGAGCTGAGCAAGGGAAAGTGCAAAGGAGGAGGGAGAACTGGATGGGAAGGGTTCTCTCCTCAGCCATGAGGAACAAGGTACTCCAGCCCAGGTAGATTTGCAGATTTACAGGCTAAGGAGGTTCTTTCTTATACAGGAGCCATACTGACTTCATATGCCTCTGAAAATTTAAATTGCTTGCATAGAGAAGACTTAGGAACAAAGATATTGTGGAGTGCAGTAGTAAAATCACCTGAATGGGTAATATTTCAGTTTCACAGCCACATGTCTGAAACATGGCATCGAAAAGCTTACATGAAAAAAAAGCAAAGCTATCTTACATCTTAAATTTTAATATTTTAGTTGTAAAGTTTGGATGAAATGACTCAGACACATAGTAGCAATAAATTAAACCAATAAGATATGCTGTAACTACTTGATCTAATGTTCTGCCCTATGCTGAGGGTTTCTTCCTTTTCCTTTCACATTCCCAATTACTCATAAAACTATCTGAGTGTATACATTACTCAAAACCATTTGTGCCACCCTAACTTCTTATTAAATAGTGCTACTCAACATCTGTACCCTTTAACAAGGTTTGCCTTTGCCCCTAAATTTAGGTTAGAAGGATATTCAGAATTTTGATTTGAAAACCACGAGATGTCAGTCTGCGGTTCACGAGCAGTTTCTGCACTCCTGAAATATTCATAAAGCAAATCCACCTTTTCCAGGGAATATGTTATAAGAACTACAGGTAATTGAGGCACAGTTGTCTCCCTTCTGCTCCGTGGGCAGCACGAAATGACAGCTTCAGGAGATGGGAATCTCATTGAAAGGCTTGGCTTGGGGGATGCAGCAAAGACAGCCCTGCCTTGCTTTTGTTTCCAGCTGTGTGAGCATCCACCAGCTCTGCACTCAGGCAGCACAAGGCTCCAGCCCTGTGCCCTCAGCAATGCCCCCAGCCCTGCCTGCTCCGTGCACACACATCCTCTGCAGCCCAGGCAAGGCTTACATCAGGGTTTTCCAGCTGGGATGTGACTCTGGTACCAAACTGTGCCAGGGTGGATGGCAGTGGAGAGGCTGCAACCACACCACAGGCTCAGGAACAGATAAAAAAAGTGTTAATGGGGTGGTCGGGATTGTTTTGGTCCCTCCAGTAAATCTGCTCCTGCTGTGCATTTGTGTCAAGTGAGTGATGCCTAAACAGCTGAAATGAGCCCCTCACGCATGTGAAGGCTCTTTTTTTTTTTTTTTTTTTTTTACTGCTAAATACATATAATTCCTTCTCCCTTCATAATTCCATTTCTCCATTATCCCATTTCACACCTTTGGAAGCTGCTAGTATGCACGAGTTTAAGATCACACAAACGCGGCCAAAGTTTAAAAAAAAAAAATTCCTTCCTCTGTGCTCTTCCACAGCTGTCACTACTTTCAGGTGCTCTGCACAGTTTTGAGAGATGGCCTACACAGGGCATTGTTAGTAATCAGATTTGTCTCTCTTCTCAGGATAAGCATGAAAAAAGCTGCCACATAAGTTAAGTGAGAAGATCAAGTTCAGAGCTTCCCTTTAAACGCTAGAGAGCAGTTCTGGAATCACAGCTGGGGTGTGGATTGTGGATGTGGATATGGAGTGGCTGGGTGATGAATTTAAAGGATTTCTGGGCTATTTCCAGATCTTGTAGCACTGACTGATACTTGTAGGTGAAGCCCTCCCTGCTCAGCCCTGGCAGTGAGTTTCCTCAGATGCTGTTACACTTTTGGCTCTGTGAGAGCAGACACACTTATTAAAAGCCCGCCACTTAATAAAAGAGGAATGTAAAAGCTTTGCAGAGCCAAGAAATTGCTCAGTGTTATCTTGCTGTATTTTCTGGAGAAGTTATGAACACACTCAAGCTATCTAACACTGCTTAGATCATCTTCCTGTTGGAAATTACTCAGGCAATTGTACAATAAAACCTTCACTTAAAGCATTATCTAGAGATTTTTCCCTCACCCTCTTCAAAGATAGCTAAAAGTAAATAGTTATTGCCACACATCAGATGTTATCCCACATTTCCCACCAACAGACATTGTGTATAATTGCAGGGCTAAAGATTTTCCTTTTCCTCTTTTCTTCTTAACATATTTTGCATACTTATGTAATGCTTTTAATAACCAACCCCTCCTTCTCCCGTAGAAACGCGAGACAGAAAAAGATGACAGAGAAATAAAAGGGGAAATGCATGTAATTTCTGTCATCTTCTAAACTGAGAGCATTTTCATTAAACCCGACAGGCTGTCAGCTGTGACAAAGCTGAAGTGTTGAGTGCTCTGCCTTCTGTACTTCAAAAAGTGTTTAGAAAAGCACCAGGATGGGACAGACGAGCTCGCACTGCCCTGTTGATCCAGGGCAGGGCTTTCTTCTTTAGGCATGTTTAATTTAATCACCCCTGCTTTGCTCTAATGAAGTCTAATTTTTTTGACTCACCTGCTTAATATGCCAAATAAAGATTTTTCTAAAGTGAAAAATCCTTTCAGATCAACTGAAGCTTTTTGTTTGTTTGGCTGCTAGGAGGCTTCAAGAGAGGAAGACAGAGAAGCCTCCTTCACAACAATTTAAAAAAACCCACTGTCAAAATATAGCTCATAATTCCCATTTATTATTCCTCCTCAGCAGTGTTTGTATTAATTCCTTGAATATTTGATTGTAATAATTTCAGCATTTGATTTACAGAGATGTTGAAATCTCTTTTGGCTTTCAATGCTTGATGCCTTTGAAAACCTAGTTCAATATCTCATATGTGTCTCATTCAAAGACTTCAAAGGCTTCCAGAAACCCTCACTATCTCTTGCCTTGGTAGTGTGGGCAATCATAGTAATATATTACCATTTAAAATAGTATTTAAACTTGTTTAAAAATAGCATTTAAACCCAAGGCCAGGATGGATGGGGCTCTGGCAACCTGGCCTAGTGGAAAGTGTCTCTGCCTATGGCAGGGGGTTTGAATTAGATGTCCTTTAAGGTCCCTTCCAAGGCAAAGCATTCTATGATTAAATGAAAATTTAAATTCTGTACAGAGGAGCTCTCTGAGATACATGGATTTATACAAGCCAGTGGAAAACCAGGGAATGGAACCCATAACTCTTTCTCCAGCATACAACACAATACATAACTTTGCCTCATGATGAGACTGAAAATATACAGCTCCAAGGACTACAAAGACCATTAGAGTAATTTATTTTCAACTTCCAT